GCAGAGGACAGAAAAGGCCATCGGATCCTCTGGAACTGGAGTTACAGACAGTTGTTAGCTGCCATGTGGGTGCTGGGAAATGAACCCGGGTCTTCTGCAAGAACAGTCAGTGTTCTTAGCTGCTGAGCCAGCTCTCCAGCCCTTTTGTCAGCTTTCTTTATGGCAGGCCACTTCCAGACTTTGCATTGCTCCTGTGTTCTGCTTACCGACAGGTGGGATGGCTCCCCGCTGCTCTCTGAAGTCAGATGCTGTTGCCTTCACTGTCCTCAGCCTCCCTTCTTGCCCCTTGTTCCTGGAGAGCCTGAGTCATGGACTCATCCCTACTGCTAGTGGTTGTCTCGATCTTCCCTGGAAGAAATCTGGGCTGTGCTGTGAACCCCGGCCCCCCCTCCCGATTCTGTCCATTGTCATAATACAGCAGTGACTCCAGCACCCTTACCCAACCTCACTGGACCATCAGGCTCTTCTCACAACTTCTAAACCAAACAGGAACATCACACAGTGTGTACAAGATGGTGAGCTATCTCACTGCCCAGTACATACCCCATCTGGAAATGCAGGGCGAAATAATGCTCAAGGAGACAAACTTGAACTTGGACAGGTTGGAGATAGAAGGAGCCAGCAGACAGACTCTCCCTCCTTCCCCCCATGAGCTGTTTCAATCAAGTTGTATGGTTCCTGGCCTACTAGAAACATCTCCCATGACTGAGAATGGAGCCGGGGCTTTGAAGCTGGGGCCAGCTTAGTCCTGCAATCCCTGCAGTTTGCTGCTTCCTCACCTGTCTTGCTTGGTTTCTCCTCTGCCCTGCCCTGGGATGGGAACTCCAGTCAGAGCATCGGAAGTGCGGGTCTTCTGCAGAGTTAGAGCCATGGGCACATGGAACCTTTTGGGGTGATCATCTCAGAGCCAGTTTTCCGTGGAGTTCATGCCGGGAAATACTGGCGAGGAGGTTCCCCTTTTTAGGGGATGTAAGCCTATCCTTAGCCATGCTATTAGGCCTTTTGCTCACAGACTGAATGAAGGCTGGGGCTATAGACAAGGAGAGGAGTGCTAATCTAGCATGTTCTAGACCCTTGGTTCCATTCCCAGCCACACACACACACACACACACTCACACATCCTTGCTGAAACAAAACCACACTTTCATAATAACAGGAAAAGAGCGTTGTACATTTATTAAAACAACAAATAACATGAACTCAGTCTTCCCCCCATGTTTGGGGTAGGACTGAAATACAGTACATTGCCTCTTACTAGGCCTTTGAGTGAGACCCAGCCCTCCCACCAAGGAAAGGAAGTGGGCAGCTCTATCAGCTTGGCTTCCTTCCCCCTTTGTGACAATCGCCAGTCACACAATGACCAGGCGTGATCATACAAAAATTCTTGTACAAAAAGCACCAAATTGGCATACATATACAAGTATATACAAAAAAAAAATCACATTTTAAAAACGTACAAAATTTTTCATTTTGCACCAGTGTACAAAAGTGTCCTGTGTGGTTGTTTTGAGTACATTTCCAATTGTGGTTTTCAGTGGCTGCTGGACACAGCAGGGGGGCTTCTACACTAGTCCCTGTCCTCTGAGCAAAGAGAAGACATCCTTCCCCATTGCCCCCTGCCCCCGGGAGCCCCGACCCCTTCCCATGAAGGGCCTGTCCCTCCCCCTCCCCACTCTCTGCATCCAGTAGGTGTCTCATGCATCCAGCTCCTTCCTCACTGGTGTCCTGAAAGAGAAAAACAAAGACACAGAGGCCCATGGTGAAACAGGACTCAGGAGAACCCAGGGCATCTAGAACTTTGGTGCTAAGTTACCCAATGGCATCTCCAGCCTGGACTCTTCCTTTAAAAACCAAACTAGAGGGGCCAGAGAGATGGCTCAGTGGTTAAGAGAACTGTCTGCTCTTGCAGAGGACCTGGGTTCGATTCCCAGCATCTACATGGTGGCTAACAACCATCTGTAACTCCAGTTCCAGGCGATCCGACACCCTCTTCTGACCTCCTTGGTCATTGCAGGACATGGGTGCACTTACATACATGCAGGCAATATACTCATACACATACAATAGAAATAATAAATTAAAAAAAAAACTAGGATAAAGTTCAGCTGTCAAAATAGTGTGGGTTGAGCTGGTAGTGCACACCTTTAATCTCAGCATTTGGAAGGCAGAAGCACGCCGGTCTTTGTGAGTACAAGGCCAGCCTGGTCTATGTTGTAAGTTACAGGCCAGCTGGAGCTACAAGGAGGCCCTGTCTCAAACAAACGAACAAACAAAAAACAAACACTATTGGTTGCTGGGCATAATGGTGCACACCTTTAATTCCAGCATTCAGGAGGCAGAAGCAGGCAGAGCTCTGTGAGTTCTAGGCCAACCCGGTTTATGTATATTTATTCCTTGACTGGCCTGAAATATGCTATATAGTGAGACCCTGTCTCAAAAAAGCCAAAACCAAGCTGGGCATGGTGGCGCACACCTTTAATCCCAGCACTCGGGAGGCAGAAGCAGATGGATCTCTGTGAGATCATGTCTCAAAAAAAGACAAAAACAAACAAAAAATCCAAAAAACTAAAACCAAACAAAACTATGGGTTGCAGATGTCATACAAAACTCTTTGGAGCGTGACTTCCTCAGCTGCATTGAAATTCGGTTCTAGTAGCTAGGCTTGAGAAGTGACCATATTAGTGAATGTGCTATGTGTCAGATCACTCTTTCTCCCTTCTATGGACCCACCATGCTCTGACTCCCCACTACCAGCTCTTGAGCTCCTTACAATTGTGCACAGATAAGTAGCTTACAACCCAAAGAAATCCATCACTGCTCAGGGTCCCACATCTCATCTGTGGTTCAGCTGTGACCAGGAGGCCAGTTCTGTTTGTTGCTGTTTAATGGGGTTGGACAAGCATGACAGGTAGTCAGTTGCTCTACAATTAAGTGACATTTCCAGCTCTATGTATGTGTGTGTGTGTGTGTGTGTGTGTGTGTGTGTGTGTGCACAGATAGATGCATGTATGTGTGGGGGCCAGAGAAAAACTGGATGTTGTTCCTCAGGCCCTGTCCATGTTCTGTTTTGAGACAGGATCTCTAACTAGTCTGAAATTCATCAAGTCGGGCTCTAGCAGGTGAGTGAGCCCCAGGGTTCCAATAGGAATTATAAATGTGTATCACCACTGCCACCGCCTTTGGCATGTTTTATGTGGATTTGGGGGATTGAATTCCGGTCCTCATGCTTACATGACAAGCAGTACCAACTAAGCTATCTCCCCAGCCTTTCATCCCCTCCTTCCTTCCCTCCTTCCCTCCCTCTCTCCCTCCCTCCCTCTCTCCCTCCCTCCATCCCTCCCTCCCTTCCTTTCCTTCTCCCTTTCCTTTTTGCTTAGACTGGGCCTGAACTTATGATCCTCATACCTCAGTCTCCCAAGTAGCTGGGATCACGGGCCTTTACTACTATGCCCAATGAAAACCAACCGCTCAGTCGGACCGCTATATTATTAAACTTAGATGCCCAAAGGCCAGCAGACATGAGAACAGCAGTCAGGCTCAGCAGTCATGGGCTGAGCAAATTGGCAAGTGCATGTCTGTTTCAAGGGGACAACCCTTCTCATCTCAATAACAGACTAAGTTCAACTTCAGTATGATTGGTTTTCCCAGATTTTCATAGGCAGGCAACAATGCAGATTCCTAATTGAAATCTCTTTTTCATTAAAAAAAAAAAAAAAAAAAGAAAAAAAGATCAGCTCAAAGCATGGTAGCAAACACTTAAAACCCTAGCACTCAGGAGGCAGAGGCAGGAGGATCACAGCAAGCATGAGGCCAGCTTGGTCTACATAGTGAGTTCTAGGCCGGCCACAAGTATACGCCAAGACTCTACCCAAAACAGAATAGAGCGAACAAAAGGAGAGGCAGGCCTGCTGGCTTGCACCCAGGAGCGGAGGCAGCAGGATTGCCGGGCTCAGAAGTTCTTGGTTATTCATGTTTTCTGCTTTTTGCCCCCAAAGTGTACAGAAAACAGGGATTTATTACTATTTATTTAGACAGGATCTTACTGTGTAGCTCTGGTTTCCTGGAACTCACAGAGCTCCACTTGCCTCTGCCTCCCAGGTGCTGGGATTGAGGCATGCACCACCACGCCCAGTCTACTCTTCTCCTTTCTCTTTTTGAGACAGGGTCTCGCTGCATGCCTGGAACTCGCTATGCAGACCAGGCTGGCCGAGTCCAAACACTGAAATGAAAGGTGCTACCATGCCTGCTCTTAATAGTTGTGATTTATTTTCTTACTCTTAATAGCTTTAAGACACACCTTGGGACTCTGCAGAGGTGGTGATGCATACCACCTCTCCTGATAATGCCAGCACTAAGGAGAATTTTGAGTTTGAAGTCAGTTTAGGATACACAGTGAAAACAAAATAGGGCCAGCAAGATGGCTCAGCAGGTAAAGGAGCTTGCTGAGGAAGCCTGATGACCTGAATTCAGCCCCAGAATCCCATGTTGGAAGGAGGGAACTGATTCTCAAAAGTTGTCCTCTGACCTTCACATGCACGCTGTGGCATGCATTTACCTGCATTCTCACACATACACACACGACACACCACACATACAGAAAACGGTTGGGGGGGGACACCAAAATAATAATAATAATAAAGCAAAACCACATACCCTGGGCATGTGCAGCACAGCATTTTGTTCAGGTTGTCACTGAGGGAATGAGGGTGAGTGGAAGTAGGCTGATTTCTTACCTTCTTTCCCTTCTGTGGACACATCCCCTTCCTGATCTTCTTCGTCTTCAATGAACTCTTCCTCATCCTCATCTGTGACAAAGACTGTTTGTGTTAGGATGGGACTGGCTTCCCACCAGAAGAGAAATTAGCCTGCAGGGAACACTTGTCTCCATTCTGAGCACGGGAGGTGGCAGGGACCCAGGAGGTGTTAGCCTTCCAGGCCCAGGCTACACAGAGCTGGGCCCAGGTGTCTCCCCTTTCTCTTCCCTCCAGACCACAAGCTCCTTTGCTCCAAGGCATCAACAACTTTTGTCACTGGGGACTCTGTGGCCACAGGACTCTTAGGTTCTGTGCACAAAACTCTGGACAAAAACTCCTCATGCTTAGGGATCAGAGTCCTTCCTTGGTTTGAAGTCATTTGCTTGGCCTTTGAAATTGGCTTGTTCAACATCCCAGTCTGTTTGTCTCTTTATTCTGCCCTGGGGTTGGGGGGGTGAGTGAGGCTTAGGATAGGAGTAGGTCTCCAACACCAGAGGGGCAGTGGCCAAGCTGCAACCTGTGTCCTACTTCCTCATCCTGGGATGTCACTTTCAAACTTTCCTAACAGGGCCAGGTCCCTTTCTCAACCCCCTCCCAGGCCTTCAGGGAACTGCAGAGTCATCATTTGTCAAAAGCACCAAAATCCAGGGCATGGTAGCTCCGGAAGCTGAAGCAGGAGGATCGCCAAGAGTTGGAGTACATCTTGGGGGTACACAGTGAATTCTAGGTTAGCCTTGGCTATAGACTGGGGCCTTATTTCAAAAACCCAAACCAAAACAACAACAAGAAAATAACAGCAAAGTTTAGTTAGAACTTGCCCACTCCTTTGCCAGTGTCAAGCTGTCTACATTCTATCTCAGAGAGTCTTAGAGCCAGATGGCCCTGGGTGAGGTTTGCACAGGCTGCTTGTAAGCCGTGTGGCCTTGAACAAGTCTCTTACCCTGTTTGCGCTTTAGTTTCTCTCTCTCTCTCTCTCTCTCTCTCTCTCTCTGCCTTCTATTTTTATTTCATGTGTATGGGTATTTTGCCTGCCTATATGCACCCATGCATGTAATGTCAGCAGAAACAAGAGGAGGGTATTGGATTCCCTGGAGTTACATAACAGTTGTCAGCCGCCATGTGGGTCCTGGGAACTGAACGCGGGTCCTCTGCAAGAGCAGCCAGTGCTCTTAACTGCTGAGCCATCTCTCCAGTCCCCAGTTTAGTTTCTTAAACTATGAAATAAGGTGGTAACAGAACCTTCACAAAGAGTTGTATTAAATGATAGAATTTTTGCTTTAGGTAAAGGTCTCAGTGCTTAGAACATGGACAGGGTCCTAATAAACACTATCTATTGGGTGCTGGAGAGCTAGCTCAGTGGTTAAGAGCACTGGCTGCTCTTGCAAGGACCCAGGTTCAATTCCCAGCATCCATATGGTGGCTAACAACCATCCATAGTTCTAGTTCCAGGGGATCCAACCCCCTCTTCGGACTGCTACAGGCATTGCATGACACAAGTACACTTATGCATGCAGGCAATATACTCTTACACATAAAATAAAAATAAGTAAAAAAAAAATTGTGTGTTTTTTTGAGACAGGGTCTCCCTGTAGCCCCAGCTGGCCTTGAACTCAGAGATCCACCTGCCTCTGCCTCCCCAGTTCTGGGACTACAGGAATGTGCCACCACACCCAGCTAAGTAAAATATTTTTAAAAAACACTATCTATGGGGCTGGAGAGATGGCTCAGCGGTTAAGAACACTGTTTTTGCAGAAGACCCAGGTTAGAATCCCAGAACCCACATGGCAGCTAACAACTGTGTGTTAACTCCAGTTCCAACCGGCAGCCTCTTCTGTCCTCCACAGGCACTGCATGACACAGGTGCACTTACCTACATGCAGGCAATACATGCATACACATAAAATAAAAATAATAAAATATTTAAAAAAAAACACTATTGGAATCCTCCCCATTTACCTCAGAGGAAACAGGCTCAGGGTGGTAATGGGGGGAGGGGTGTGCAGGTCTTCACTGTGTTATGTTCACACAGTAGAACCTGCTGTTTTATCTTTTCTTTTTTTAATATTTTATTTATTATTTTTATTTTATGTGTATGAGTGTATTGCCTGCATGTATGTGAGTGCACCCATGTCGTGCAATGCTGTGGATATCAGAAGAGGGCTTCAGATTTCCCTGGAACTGGAGTTAAGGACGGTTCATAGCTGCCATGTAGGTGCTGGGGATTGAACCTGGGTCCTCTGCAAGAGTAATCAGTGCTCTTAACCGCTGAGCCATCTCTCCAGTCCCTATCTTTTCTATCTTTCTATCTTTTTTTTTTCAGACAGCCTTACTATGTAGCTCAGGCTGGTCTCAAAACGCACCATTCTGTCTTAGTTTCTGAAGTGCTGGGATGCCAAGACTATACTAGCATGCCTTCACTTTTATTTAGAAAATGAAGCTCTGGGAAGCAGAGGAAGAGCTGGGGACAGTCAGTGCTAGAGTGTTTGCCTAGAAAGCATGAAGCCCTAGGTTCATGCTCCAGTACTGTCCCTTGATACAAAAGCAAACTCCATGGGCAGAGGAGGCTTGCCAAAAGTCACACAGATAGCACACAAACAGCAGAGTCAGGATTTGAATTCAGATCTGCCTGGTCCCAGATGCCATGATCCTCAGATCCATGTATAATTAATTTATTAAGCAGCAATTAGGTGTGCTAGGCTCTGGGCTAGCTAGGGATCTTTGTTAGTGGATCTGCCTCCCAAAAGGACTCAAAGAGAGAGAGAGGGAGAGATGTGGGCTTTCATGGGTCAAGTAGGCATATAGGCAAATGGTACTACCATTTCCTTTACCTGTCCCAAAGTCAATGGCCTTCAGGGCCTCTGCTATGTGCTCTAAATCCAAAGTAAAGTAGTCCATGTTTTCAAAGCCCTGTTCTGTCTTCCCCAGCTGGCAGCCTTTGGACGCTTCCACAATGCTGTAGGGGAGAAAGGTAGGATGAGATCTCTGGGCTCCATGCAAAGAGGGGCATCTTAGCCTCAGTTCTATGTGGGTCCATGCTAGACCCAAACCCCACCCCTGATGTGAGAGGTATCCTAAGGGGGCGGATGGTTCAAGAAGGCAAGGAACATGAGCCAGAGGTGAGCCCCACCCCCGCAGACCTACTGCACAGGATCCTAACTGGGCAGTTAACAGAAGCCCCGGGGTGGGGGTGGGGTGTTGTTCAGGCACGGAACACGGTCCCTGAGATACTGACCTCTTGATGAGTTGCTTGGCACTCTGTGGAGAAAGAACAGAGGTTAGCATTGCAGAATGAGTGACCCCAGGAGTCCTCATGTCATGGATAGACTCCAGGTACCATTCCTCAGTGCAGATATAACTCACTCCCTGCCCTGAGCTAGACAGAACTTAGACCTTTCCCTTCTATCCATGAGTAGCACAGGTCTTGGTCAGCCCTGTTCCCCAGGGCTTTCCCATTGTCCTGGCAGGAAGCTAAGATCCTCAAGGCATTCTACCAAACACTCCTGATGCTTGACATCCATAGATGAGAGTTGGCTGAACTACTTTTTCAGTCTTATGGTCTAGACATTGTTTTGGTTTTTTTTTTGAGACAAGGTTTCCCTGGAGCCTCAGCAGGCCTGGAACTCCCTATGTAGACCAGGCTGGCCTTGATCTCTCAGAGATCCACCTGCCTCTGCCTTTCGAGTACTGGGATTAAGAGCATGTACCACCATGCCTAATAGTTGGTTTTGCTTTTTAAGACAAAGTTTCATGTAGTCCAGGCAGGCCCAGAACTTGCTATGTAGCCAGGAATGACCTTGAACTCCTGATTATCCTGACTTCCAAGAGCTAGGATAATAGGCATGTGTCACCATGCTCAGCTTGAAGGTATACTTGATGGGCTGAACTTTGAAATCTTAGAGCCAGGGCTGGAGAGATGGCTCAGCAGTTAAGAATACTTTCTGTTCTTCCAGAGGACCTGGGTTCAATTCCCAGGACCCACATGGCACTAACCGTCCATAACTCCAGTTCCAGGGCATCCAATACCCTCTTCTGGCCTCTGCAGGCATTGCATGACATGGGTGCACTTATATGCATGCAGGTAATAAATTCATACACATAGAATAAAAATAATTAAAGGCCAGGCATGGTGGCACATGTCTTTAATCCCAGCACTTGGGAGGCAGAAGCAGGGGGAATCTCTGTGAGTTTGAGGCTAGCCTGGTCTATATAGGGAGTTCCAGGTCAGGGAGACTCTATCCAAAAATACCTAATAATAATAATAATAATAATAATTAAAGTCTTATAGCTGAGCTATCCATCACACCCACCCTGCTCATGTAGGGCAAGATTATACCTTGTTTATCTCTGTTCTTACCCCAGTGCCTGGCCCACAACAGGTGCTCAATGAATTGCCTCTATTTGAGACACTGTATTTGGCAGCTTCTAAAGTCATTTCACAAATATCCTCTTAGTTCATCCTCATAAAGTTAATAAGAGGAAGGCAGAGATTGCCACAAGCCCACATTACAGAAGAAACACTTGCTGAGGGAGTTTTGTTGTTTTTGTACTGGGGATTGAATCTAGGGTCTCACCAATTTCCCTGATTACCCTTGAATTTAGAATCTTCCAGCCTCAACCTTCCAAGTGCTGGGATTATAGGCATGTTCCACTAACCCAGCTCACTGCTAAGGCTTAAATGACTTGTTCAAGGGCCCATGGAGGCCAGTAAAAGCACATGAACCCACCCAGAATCTCCAAGTGCTGCTCACCATGAGGAAGGTGGCCCCGCCAGGCTCGTCCAGGGACTGGATGGCTGTCTCTACGAGCTTGGTGGACTTCTCCAGCTGCTCTCGGTACTGCAGGATCAGGGCCTCAATGAAGCCCAGCTTCTCCTCCTGCTCCTGTGTGATCCGCTGTAGCAGCTCACTCTTCTTCTCATCCAGGATGGCGTAGAGGGCATCAAACTTCTGGCTCAGCTCTTCCTTCACCTGGTGGCTGTTTTCCTGGGGACAGAAATCCTACAGTCACATCTTGTGGAGTCTTGACTCCCTTCTGGGTCAGAAAAATCCAGTTATCTACAATAAGAAGAGATCCTACCAGATCCCTGTCATACAGAAGGCAGAGTAAAGGCTAACGGGAAGAAAGTACCTGCAGAAGGCTGGCATGACAGTGCACTCCTGGAATTCTAGCACTCAGGAGGCTGAGGCAGGAGTGCAAGTTTAAGGACTGCCAGGGCTATGGAGTGAGTTTAAGGCCAACTTGAACAACTTAATACGACCTTGTCTCAAAATAAAAAGTAAAAAGATCCGCCAGGCATGGTGGCGCATGCCTTTAATCCCAGCATTCGGGGGCAGAAGCAGGTGGATCTCTGTGAGTTCAAGGCCAGCCTGGTCTACATAGTGAGTTCCAGGACAGCTGGGGCTACAGGAAGACCCTGTCTCAAAAACACCAAAAAAATAAAAATAAAAAGATTATAGAATAATGCCAGAAAATATTAGTCTATGACCTGACCTGGCCTCCCTTGGTGAACGCAGATCAGTAGATGAATCTTTTCAAACCTGACTCAGTAAAGCACAAATAAGAGAGAAAAATAGATTAACTAATGAGGCCGCCTAAAAACAGTTTTACAGAGCCCTGCACCAATTCACAACAGATAATAGAACTCAGGGCCAGACAGATAATAGGAACGACAGCCATTTATTGCTAAGAGACTGTCTGAATATTTGTGCATAAAACAGCCACTACAAGTTCTTTAATCACATTTCCTAAATCGCAAAGAGAAAGAAAGAGAGAGAGAGAGAGAGAGAGAGAGGGAGGGAGGGAGGGAGGGAGGGAGGGAGAGAGGGAGAGAGAGAAAGGAAACTGTGATGTATCACAGTAGCTGCTGGGTGACAGCTGGAGGCTGTTGTCAGGGAGAATAGCAAAGGTCTTGGGTCTTATGGGTGTGACTCCTCATGTCCTGCGTCACATGTTTCCTGGGGGGAGGTAGAAACAGCTCCTCCCTTGCAGCCTCCCTAGAGGACATCTCCCCACACAGATGTTCTACCTTACTGCTTTGCTTTTGTCTTTTTGTTGTTGTTGTTTTCATTTTTGTTTTGGTCTTTTTGAGACAGGGTCTCCCTGTAACCCCAACTGTCCTGAAACTCACTATGTAGACCAGGCTGGTCTCGAACTCACAGAGGTCCACCTGCCTCTGCCTCCCGAGTGCTTGGACTAAAGGCCTGCGCCACCACGCCCGGCCCTTACTGCTTCTCTTGTAAAAATCTCTGAATGGAGTGCAGCTAGGGGAATCACAGTGTTTCTTTCCTTATCATGACTTTCTGTCCACTTCCAATTATGGTGTCCCCCACCCCTTTTGAGACAGGGTCTCATTGTGTAGTCCTGGCTGGTCTGGAACTTATAATGTAGATCAGGGTGGCTTTGAACTCACAGCAATCTACCTGCCTCTGCCTCCCAAGTGTTGGGACCAAAGGCTGCACCACCACACTGGGCTTCCTGCCCCTTATCATCACTAGCACCTTTCCTCAAGAAGAGACTAGGACTTTAAATGTTCTCTCAGGATTAGGAGAACTTCCTTCCTTCCTTCCTTCCTTCCTTCCTTCCTTCCTTCCTTCCTTTTTTTCAAAAAGGGTTTCACTATGTAGCTCAGACTGGGTTCCAGTTTTTGAGAAATAGTCTCATGTATCCCAAGCTGACCTCAAACTCATTACGTGTTGGATCCTCTTAGCACCATCTCCCAAATGCCGAGATTACAGGCATGCACCTCACATCTGACTGGGAAAGCTACCTTCTGCCTTCCTCAGTCTGTGGACCCAGCAATCTCTCAAAACCTCAAGAGTTCCTTAGAAATGCTGAACTGAAGTTAGGCATGGTGGCTCATGCCTGTCATCCCAACACTCTGGAGGAAGAGCAGGAGATCAGGAATTCATGGCCAATATGGGCTATATAGCCAAATCTGCACTCCAGGCTATATAAGACCTTAAAAAAAAAAAATAGAAAGAAGCCAGATGTGGTGGTGCATACCTTTAATCCCAGCACTTGGGAGGCAGAGGCAGGTGGATCTCTATGAAGTCAGTCTGGTCTACATAGAGAGTTCCAGGTCAGCTGGGGCTACAGGGAAATCTTGTCTTAAAAAAACAAAAAACAAAAAAAGACCGAAAAGCAAAACAAAACAAGCCAGGCATGGTGGTGTAAGCCTTTAATTCTAGCACTTGGGAAGCAGAGGCAGGTGGATCTCTGTGAGTTCAAGGCCAGCCTGGTCTACATAGTGACTTCCAGGCTAGCTGGAGCTGCAGGGAGACCCTGTCTCATAAAGGCAAAAAACAAAACAAAACAAAACAAAAACCCACCTCAAACAAACAAAACAGCCCAAGGGGCTGAAGAGATGGCCCAGCGGTTAAGAGCACTGGCTGCTCTTGCAGAGGACCTTAGTTCAATTCCCAGCACCCACACACCCGTACCTCCAGTTCCAGGGGACCTGACGCCTTCTCTGATCCTCTCCGACCTTGCATGACATGGGTGCACCTAACTACATGCAAGCAACACATTCATACACATAAAATAAAAAAGCATAAATAAAAATTTAAAACACAACCCAAAACGAGAGAGAGAGAGAGAGAGAGAGAGAGAGAGAGGCAGAGAGACAGAGATCAAGAGTGCTTCATTCCAGAAAATCAGAAGCTGAGTTCTCACACTAGCCAGACTGAAGTGTGTGCCTTCAAAGGTTTAAAGGTCAAGGTGCCTTGCTCTACAGCAAAATTATTAATGTTGGGGACACTCTGGCAATTATTGTAAGGATGATCTCTGAAGTCAGGAAACAATCAGGTCTGTGTTGATTTGGGGCAGGGCCTGACACAGCTGTACTCAAAGAGTATTTGCTGTGTGGAGGAATGATTGATTGAGTCACTGTCATCTTTATTGGCCACCTGAGGCTCTAGACTTCTACCTGCACTCACAACTCAGGCTGAGCCTTCCCCAGAGACCAGGGGCACTGCAGATTTCAACACCCACCCTGGGGACTGGACTGCTCTGTGCTCTCACCTTGGTCACTCGGCAGGAGTCCTCCAGTTGAGTGATGATGGTCTGTATTCGGTCGTTCCCTGCCACCAGCATAGAGATGCAGTTGCTCAGTTCAGTCTGGATGGGAGGGGAATGAGGGAGGACAGACAGAAATAAACTCAAGGCCGGCTGCTTGGGTACGGCAGCAACATGGTATTTCTGCTCCCCTCTCTGATACAGTCGCCAGTATGGGTGCCATCTCACTTTCTTGGGTGTAACTCAGGTCAGGTCTAAAGCATAGACTACCAGAGATATGGCATCCTTTCTCTACAGATGAGGTCCAGAGAGGGGAACTGAGCACCCGAAAAACACATGGCAAAGTACTGACAAAGGAAAGTCTAGTGTCTGAGGAAAAAAAAAATGGGGAGTTTTAGAAGACAGAATCCAAAAGATGAGTGGGCTGTGGGAAATACAGTGTGCAGAAAAAATGGGCTATAGAATACTGGGGTTGCCAGGGACCTGGGGAGGGGCTCTAATATGGCCTCCTGCTGCAGAGATTATAAATCTGGGGGAGGTGAGAGGCTCAGGTAGAGAGGTCTGGTACCCAGAGTATACAGGAGGGGAAGCCATGGCCTAGTGGCCTGGCCCTAGAGTCTGGCCTGTCCCCTGTGGCCACACCCAGGTGCTCTCAAGTGGCTCTAAGTATAACCCATGAGCTCAGCCACCTCCCCAGGGAGGAAAAGGTCACTGTCCTTGTGGCCTGGGAAGTCCCTCCAGAGGGACTATTCCTGAAAGGCCGGCTCAGCACATCTACAAGGGTCAAAGCTACCTCCCAAATTATCTGGGGGCAGCAGCGGCTGCAGCCAGTACCTTCTGGCCCTGGAAGACGCTCTGTAGTGGGGCCACCTCGCAGGCTTGGTGGGCCCCAAACACCTTGCACATGGAGCAGGTGGGCACCTCGCACGTGAGGCAGTAGATGTTGATTTTTTCATCCTCGTGCTCCTTGCACATCGGGTGGCTGCCTTTCTGCAGAGGCCGACTGAAGCAGAGAAGATTCACAAGTCAGGGGCACCCCCAGTCCCTGTCTCCTCCCCATCTCAAAGCATAAGAAGCTACCACATCCATATGGCAGCTCCCAGCGGGTCAGGCTGCTCCAAACATTTGCTTTTGATCTTCTGGAAGCCAGGACCTGTCCCTATACTCTAACTGTCCCTATACTCAAACCTGTCCCTATACTCTAACACCCAAACTCCAGTGTCCGAGCTGGCCTAGGTCAGTGCAGAGGACATGGTGAGGAACCCAGAACTCTGGTCAGACCTGAAGATCTTAGAGAAGAGGAAACAAGGTCCCAGGAAGGTGAAAGGACTCACCCAAGGTCACCCAGCAGGTCAGGCAGGGGAGGCTAGAGCGCCTTTATTCTATTTATAGTTCCCACTGCTTTTGGTTAGCTCAGGCCTGGGCTTGGAGCTAAGCAATTTATTCCGATGGCCTCCCTGAAGCCTATTTTTAATCCACCAGACTGTGTTCTCCATTCAGACAGGGAAGTATGCCTGTTTTTCTCCCTGAGTCTGTAGAGTACAGTGCGTGGCATGGAGACTTTGGTAATTAAATACAGGTCGAAACACATCCTGATGGTGCCTGACGAGCTTTGTGTGCACCCCAAGCCACACAAACGGCACATGGGGGGCCAGAGCATCCAGCAGCCCAACACAAGCCTTCACCCTACAGGCAGAAGTTCTCGAGATCTCAGAATTTCTTTTCTTTTTAATTAAAAAAATTACATTTATGGGGCTGGAGAGATGGCTCCGCAGTTAAGAACACTGGTTGTTCTTGTAGAAGACCAGGGTTTGAATCCCAACACCCACATGGCAGCTAACAACTGTCCGTAACTCCAGTTCCAGGAGATCCGACAGCCTCTTCTGGCCTCCTCGGGCATTGCATGACACGGGTACACTTACCTACATGCAGGCAATACACACATACACATAAAATAAAAATAATAAATAAATTTTTTTTAATTATATTTTTAGGCCGGGCGTGGTGGCACACACCTTTAATCCCAGCACTCGGGAGGCAGAGGCAGGTGGATCTCTGTGAGTTCAAGGCCAGCCTGGTCTACATAGTGAGTTCCAGGACAGCTGGGGCTACAGGAAGACCCTGTTTCAAAAAGACCAAAAAAAATTATATTTAATTATTGTGCATATGTACCACAGAGTGCCTGTAGAGGTCAGACTATACCTTGAAGGAGTCGGTTCTCTTTTTACCATGTGGGTCCTGGGACTTGAACTCAGGTCATCAGGCTTGGAAACAATCACCTTTACCTGCTGAGCCATCTTGCCCTAGAGTCTCTTCTAGTCTGCTCTAACTCTAGTCCCAGGATGCCTTTCTCCTTTATTGCTTTTTTCTGCTTAGGATGCCTGGTGCTCTTCTCTTAGAGCACTGGTCATTTCCCAGCCTAGACTGGGGTTTTAGAGTCTAAGCCATACCTCTTACCACCATGTCTACACCACCTCTGATCCCCAGTTCCTAAGCTCCTGGGCATTGAATAAATGTCAAATGGTGACCCCATCAGTGTCTAGGGAACTCATTTCTTAACAGCCCTGCATGGCTGATCACGCCCCAGGCTTTACTGTCTCCTCCTGTTCTCAAAGGAGCGCCTTTCCAGACCCATCTTTTTGTATCTTTGAGCCCCATACTATGCCCATGCTGGCAGAGATGTCCCTGGTGCTACCTGTTGCTGGGGCACAGGGGTGAGGCAGGATCCCAAGGGCCTACAGTAGCCTGGGCCCACCTCCCTCCTTGCTGCTCATGTTCAAAGCTAGATTCTGCCACTTGCTTGCTTGGTGAGTTTGGGATAAGTGACCCATCCTCCAAGCCTATGGCAGCCATGTCAGAAGTTGTCTCCAAAGTTGTGACCTGCGGAGCCCTGAGCAGACCCTCACTAAGCGCAGCTACTGTTGTCACTTATGAGGAAAGGACTCAAAAGTTTCAGATATAACATGATCTTCAGGCGTCAACAATGGTGGGCTAACATTTGGTATAATATCACTTATACTGCTGTTGTTATTATTATAGTCATAAATATGCATTGGGCTGACAAGATGGCTCAGTGGATAAGGGTACTTGCAGCACAAGTCTAACAACCTGGGTTCAATCCCTGGAATCCACACAGAAGTGGAAGGAGAGAACCAACTCCACAAAGCTGTTGGGGCACAGGGGTGAACCTCCATTTCCTCATGGTACAATGGGGATGAGATAGGCTCATGACATCATGGAGGGAATAGAGAAGGGAAATGTATGGAGGAAGCGAAGGCAGCACCCACATGTAGGCAGGGCTGATGGTATTTGCTAGCTTTCACATTTCCTATTGACATCCTGTTTGACAGGAACAGATCTTACTGTTTGTTCCCTTGGCTGAAGCTCCGAAGGTTCACCAGAGATCCTTCAACACATTGAACGTTGGTAACAGAGGCAGAAGGGTCACCTCCCTCAGGATGGGGGCACTGCCTGCAGTCAGTTCTCTCTCTCTCTCTCTCTCTCTCTCTCTCTCCCCCTCCCTCCCCCCCACTTTCTAATTCTGAGACACAGTTCCAATTTATAGGCTGGCTGATCTTGAAGTCTCACTCCCAGTGCTGGGAGATTACAGGTGTGCACTACGTTCTCTGACCTGAAGGTTTTAGACCATGAAGGCCCAGAGGTCAGCAGTCCAAGAGTCTTGTTGGGATGTTCTGATTTATTTAATGGATGAACAGATAAACTGATATTGGTGCTGTGGATCCCAACACCCAGACCATGGTCTTCTGTATTCTGAGCAGGTCCTCTAGCACTTAACAATACCCCAGTCTTCTTAAAGATCTCCCCAGTAACTGTATCTCTCCAGTTTGAGACCCAACACTGTATGGCCCCTGCCACTCACAAATTCTTCGTGAGACAGAGCTGTTGTTTGCTAAGCGAGGAGACCAGGAGCTAGAAAGACTGGGTCAACTCCCAGATCTTTCTTGTCTCATCTGGTAAACCTTGGGTAATTGATTGCACTTATTGTTGTTTATTGTTGTTATTATTGGAGAAGTTGAGATAGGGTCTCATCTGTAGCCAAGGCTTGCTTAGAATGAACTATATAGCCCAGGCTGGCCTGGAACTCATAGCGATCCCCTGCCTCTGCCCCCCAAGTACTGTGATCACAGGTGTGAGCTATCACACCTGGCTGATTTCCCCTCTTTGAGATTCTGTTTTCTCCTCTTCGGAATGCGGATTATCACAGTCCTACTCCATCCAGCATGGGAAGCATCGCTGGTGCTCCATATAGACCAGTTGGCTACAGCCTCCTGGGGCACAGGCTTTTCTTCCCTGGGCTTATGACTCAGTGCCCCCTAAAGACAAGCCTGATCTCTGGGCTCTTTCCCATGCCCCCAGTGAACCCAAGAGCCAAGGTCCTGCCTGAAGTGAAGGGAGACGGCCCTCCGTACCTGCCAGTGTAGCTAGCCTCCCAGGGGCTGGGCCCTGAGCAGATGAGGACTTGGAATGGGTCTGGGAGGCATGGCTGGCGCAGGAGGCTGTGCAGCAAAGACTCACACTGACCTGGAGCACTCCTGCTTGTAAATGTCAATGATGTTCTCCACAAGCAGATTCCGCTGCAGGCCGTACACCCCGTGCCGGTCCATGATCACCTCGTGGCGGCATGAGGGGCAGCGGAAACGGCCTCCAGACATGGACACTGAGCCACCGCGATTGGTCCAGTAAGGATTTGCAGCCTGTTGGCGGCCAAGGCAGAGATGAGGATGGCACTCCTTTGCTCTCCAGTCTCCTGTTCTCCCCAACCCCCAACTCTCAGTGCTCCCCATTCTCACTCTTCCGAACAAAGGACTGTACTTCTGGTCTTGAACTAGAACCAGCCTACCCACAGGAGTGCCTTGGTTGAAGTACTGAAGCAGTTAACAGGTTCAGGGTAGGCAGACTTTCATTCAGTTCACATGACTTTGGTCTCTATGCCTCAGTTTACCACTGATATAATGGGCTTTATAGCTAGAGCCTGCTCCTGGAGCTGCATATATATATATATATAAATTTTTTTTTTTTTTTGGTCTTGAGACAGGGTCTCCCTGTAGCCCCAGCTGTCCTGGAACTCACTATGTAGACCAGGCTGGCCTTGAACTAGCAGAGATCTGCCTGCCTCTGCCTCCCAAGTGCTGGGATTAAAGGTGTGTTCCACCACGTCCGATTTATATATATATATATATATTAAAGATGTTATTTTTACTTTATGTGTATGAGTGTTTTGCCTACATGTATCTAAGTGCACCACATGTGTGCAATACTGGTGGAAGACAGTTGTTAGCTGCCACGTGGGTGCTAGGAGCCAAGCCTGAGTCCTCTGCACATGTGCTTTGAAACACTGAGCCTTTGGGCCGGTGTGGTGGCACAGGCCTTTAATCCCAGAATTTGGGAGGCAGAGGCAGATTTCTGTGAGCTCGAGGCCAGCCTGGTCTACATAGTGAGTTCCAGGCCAGCTGTGGCAACAGGGAGACCCTATCTCAAAAAAAAGAAAAAAGGAAATAAAAGGAAAAAAAGAAACACTGAGCCATCTCTCCAGTCCCCTGGGACTACTGCTTTGAAGATGACATAGTGGCTGGGCTGGGCGTGGTGGCACCTGTCTTTAATCCCAGCACTCAGGTGGCAGAGGCACTCGGATCTCTGAGATCAAGACCAGCCTGGTCTACATAGTAAGTTCTAGGCCAGCTAGGGATACAGGGAGACCCTGTCTCAAAAAGACCGAAATCAATCAATCACTAAAATAAAATTTAAAAAGACATAGTCAAAGAACATTTTTGGTCTTTTGTTTCTGTTTCTCAGACAGGGCTTTACCACGCATGCCCAGTTGACCTCAAAATTCACTAGATAGCCTAGACTGGCCTCAGACTCTCAGTCCTCCTCCTGCCTCAGTCTCCTAAGTGCTGGGAGTATAGGCATGCACCACCACACCTGGCTTTGGACCCAGGACCTTTGAATCCTGCCTCCCAGTTCAATCTGGGCATCTATTCCCTTTCCCTCCTCAGGAAGATGGAGACCCTCCTGTCCCAGGTTGTACCAATCAGCCTCGAAGGGAAGATGCCCCTGTGGTTCAGGGCCTCCTGCCACCCTCCTCCAGAGCTCTGGGCCCCCTGCCACCCTGGAGCTGGCTCCTGTCCCACAGTCTGGTTTCTTTCTCCTCTCTGCCTGCCTCCTCTTATCTCTTGAGGCCTTTGACTCCTGACTACAGAATCAACAGCAGGCAGGGGACTGTGGGCAGGGTGAGAATGGGACCCTCAGGTGAGGAGAGTCCACCACGCTTGGCCTCCCCTAAGCCCTGCTGACCCTCAGCTTTTCCCAGACGCCTTTGCAGGGCTGGACACTGGAGCAAATGCTCAAAAGAGTCCTAGACTAACAGGAAAGGAAGCTGAGTAGCTGCACCCCTCCCGTGGGGGTGGAGGGGTGGGGTCCCCAGGGCCAGGTCCTGTCCAGCACCAACCTGAAAGATGTCGTTGGCACACTTCCGGCAGAGGTTGTGCTGGCAGGGAAGGATGACCACAGGCTTGGTAAACATCTCCAGGCAGATGGGACAGATCAGCTGCTTCTCCAGGTTCTCCATGGGGTTTCCATCCGGAATCAGGCTAGACTTGTAATCCATATTACTTCGCGTGTGGCTGCCTCTTCCACGAGTCACACTAAGGGGAACCGGAGGTCTTGCCTTTCTCTCCAAGCTCACTCGGATCCCCTTTGTCTTCTCTTCTGGCTCCTGAACTCTGTCTTGGTCTGAGGCCCCTCTGATATTTATAGCTGCACCTCCCTGTCACATGAGCCCCAGGAGGGGACCAGCTGAGCATTCCGAAGCCAAGCGGCTGGCAGGGCTTGAGTTTCCTCCAGGCCCCAAAGATTTGGCCCTCTCGGATCACATGCCACATGCAAGGATGAGCAATCTCTGTTCCCCTGGGATGGGGGTCGTAAACAAGAACAGACTGTTCAGAGGCAGGCTGAGGGGGAGGGCTGGGTACCCTGGGTTTCCTGCAGAAGTTGGTCTCCTCCTAGCCAGGTGGGAGCAAGCGGTGAAACCTAGGAAAGGGGTCCCTGGGATTCAATGGGTTAATAGCCAGTACTCTTGTACCAATCTAAATCTTTTCCTCTTTTGGGGCCTTGGGCACTTCCAAGATGAGGGCTCAGTAAGCCCCTCTATGAGTCTATCCCCCTGCCTCAGACTCTAGCCTAGCAATTTGCTATAGACCTTAGGCACTGACACATAGGGCAGCCCTTCCTCACACCCCTCAGCCATTTACTGCACTTCCTGTTGAAAGAATTCCTTTGAGGGGTAGTGAGATGGCTCAGTGGGTAGAGCACTTGTTGCCAAGTCTGACAACCGGATTCAAATCCCGGAACCCACGTGCTGGAAGAAGAGAACCAATTCCTCAAGTCGTCCTCTGGCCTCTTACAGGAGAACTGTGGCATGTGTGCTCCCCCTCAACACATGCAAAATAAATAAAATGTAATTTAAAGCTTTGGAAAGGGACACTGGGGGTGGTGGCACACATCTTGGAAATCAGCCAGGGGCTCCCCTGGACTCTCTGTATTCATGTCAGTTCTTCATTTACAGCATCTCTGCGTTGTCAGGTAGGGGTCATTAGAGCACATAGATGGCCATTTCTTTAAAAAACTAGTATTTTTAAGTATTAATATATTGAGCCAGGTGTGATAGCACACACCTGTAGTCCCAGCACTCGGGAGGCAGAGGCAGGCAGATCTCTGTGAGTTCAAGGCCAGCCTGGTCTACATAGCGAGTTCCGGGACAGCTGGGGCTACAGGGAGACCCTGCTTCAAAAAGACAAAAAAAAAAGTATTAATATATTGCTTGCTTGCATGTAAGTGCATGTGTGTGTGTCCTTGCAAGTCATTTTATTTATTTCTAATAATTTTTACTTTAAAAATATTTTATTTATTGTTTTTATTTTGTGAGTGTATTGCCTACATGTGTGTAAGCGTATCTGTGTCATGCAATGCAGAGGTCAGAAGAGGGAGGAAATCCCCTGAAACTGGAGTTACAGATGGTTGTTAGGTGCCATGTGGATGCTGGAAATTGTACCCCGGGTCCTCTGCAAGAGTAGCCAGTGCTCTTAACTGCTGAGCCATCTCATCAGCCCTGCAGATGGCCATTTCTAAGGGAGATTCTCATTCAAGGTCCTTGGAGTGGTCAGGACTCAGGAGCTGGGGAAGCCTTGGGCCCCAGGATGAGCCTGTAAGGCTGTGGAACATACAGGAGTGTGCAGAACCTGAAAAGAGGGATGAATGGAACCCCAAGAAAAGATCTAGTGATTGGGCCTGGTAGTGCAAGTCTATAATCCCAGCTACTCAGGAGGTTGAATGAGGAGATTCAAAAGTTCAAGATTGAAAAAAAACAAAAACAAAAAAACAGGCGTGGTGGCACATGCCATGAATCCCAGCACTCAGGAGGCAGAGACAGGTGGATCTCTGTGAGATTGATGCCAGCCTGGTCTACATAGTGAGTTCCAGGCCAGCTGGGGCTACAGGGAGACCCTGTTTCAAAAAAAAAAAAAAAAAAAAAAAAGCATTCTTGCCTTGGAATGGGGCTGTGAGAGGGTAGACAGCTATTTAGTACCCAAGAGGGGACAATGAAAAAGAGGCGACCACTCTGAGGATGGCAGAGGGAGCCATCAAAAGTTCCTGGGCTACTGGAGCCGACTGCCACCCTTGCCTTCTCAAGAAGTGCTATAACAAAGATCCCAACCATGTAGTCGCATCAAACAAATGCCTCATCACTTGCATCACAAGCATTCTTGAGTTCATACGCCAGCTTATCGGATCCTTTTCTGTTGCTGTGATAAAACACCATATAGAAGGAAGAGTTTATTTGATTTATGGTTCCAGAGGGATGAGCCCACCATGGTGGGGAGACACAGCAGGAGGCAGCCAGATCAGAAAGCTGAGCACTCCAGCTTCCAGCAGGCACAGGAAGTGAGGCAAGGCCATATCCACATGACATGCTTCCTCCAGCAAGGCCGCTGTCCCTAAACCTCCCAAACGGCGCCACCAACTGGGGCCAAGTATTCAAATACTTGGAGCCTGTGGGGGACATTCTCATTCAAACCATCACAGCCTAAACTCAATGCTCCCATTGCCCGGGTGTGGGGGGTGGGGGGGTGGGTCATGTCTTTAATCTCAGCACTTGGGAGGTAGAGGCAGGTGGATCTCTGTGAGACTGAGACCTGGTCTACATAGTAAGACTCTGTCAAAAAAAAAAAAAAAAAATTGGAGATGTAGCTCAGTCAGTAGCATGCTTGCCTATGTACAATGCCCTGGGTTTGATCCCTAGCACTGCATAAAACTGGGCATAGTGGCAAATGCCTGTACTATCAGCACTTGAGAAATGGAGAGAGGAGGATTGAATGTTCAAGGTCGGAGTTGTACAAATGGCTTGGCAGTTAAGACTTACTGCTCTTGATGAGGATTTTAGTTTGGTTCCTAGCACCCATGTCAGGCAGCTCACAACCACCTGTAACTCCAGCTCCAGGGGATCCAACATCCTCTTCTAGACTCCATGGGCACCTGTACTCATGTGCACATACTCCACAGAGACACACACATAATTAAAAATAATAAAAATATGTCTTTAAAATTAAATTTAGAAATAAAATATTTTTAAAATATTTTATTATTTTTATTTTAAGTATACAAGTGTATTACTTCCATGTGTGTAAGTGCACCCATGTCCTGAAATGCTGAGACGGTCAGAAGAGAACGTCAGATCCCCTGGAACTGAAGTTATAGACAGTTGTTAGCTGCCATGTGGGTGCTGGGATTTGAACTCAGGTTCTCTGCAAGAGTAGCCAGTACTCAACCACTGAGCCATCTCTCCAGCCCCCATAAAACAAACCCTTAAAAAAAATATTTAAATTTTTTTCAAGGTCATCCTCAACTACATAAGTTAGAGGCCAACCTGAGTTACATGAAACTCTGTCTCAAAAACCAAAAACAAATAAAGATACTTAAGGGCTTATGAGATGGCTCAGTGGATAAAGGCGTTTGCTGTCAAGCCTGATGACCTGAGTTTGATCTTCAGGACTCACATGGTGGAACAAGAGAACTGATTCCTAAAAGTTATCCTGTGACTTCCACATGCCCCTCCCCCAAATAAATAAAGGAAATTAAAAAATTCAATTAAAAAAAGAGTGTTTTGCCTTCATGTATATAAATGCACCATGTGCATACAGTCCCTGCAGAGGCCAGAAGAGGGCATCAGATCCACTGGAACTAGAGTTGCTGATGGTTGTTAGCTGCCATGTGGGTGCTGGGAACCAAAGTCGGGTCTTCTACAAGAACAGCCAGTGTTCTTAACTGCTGATCTTAACTGCTGGGCCATCTCTCCAACCCATAAAAAATATTTTTTAAAAATCCTCTCGCTGGGCGTGGTGGCGCACACCTTTAGTCCCAGCACTTGGGAGGCAGAGGCAGGCGGATCTCTGTGAGTTCAAGGCCAACCTGGTCTACATAGTGAGTTCAGGTCAACTGGGACTACAGGGAGACCCTGTCTCAAAAAGAAAAAAAAATCCTCTCAAGGACTTGAGAGGCTGAGGCAGGAAGATTCCCATGAGGGTACTGGAGGGAGTTCCAGTTTTGAGGTGGAGCTGGGTGAGGGAAAGGATAGAGGGAGCATCAGGAACATTGGGAGGAGGAGAGCAGGCAGCACTGAGACCAGCTTCTGAGGCTGAGGGAGCAGGTAGCAAGGGCAGTGTGAGACAGTGGCAGAGGGTTTGGGTCAGCTGCTGTGGCACGAAGCTCTAGGGAAAGTGGAAGGGGCTTGCTGCTGTCTGTATCCTGCACAGACTTGTCACCTGGGAGAGCAATTCCCATGGTCCTGTTGACTTTCTCCAGCCACACTGGGCAGGCCAGGTGCAGCAAATGGACAGTGGGATGGGTTTCAGCCTGGGCACTGGCTATGTCGCTAAGAGTCAAGGGGTGAAGTGGGGAAATTCCCACGTGGGCAGAACTGGGCAGCAAAACAGGTCTTGTGGTTTAATCCTCACCAAGGGCCTGTGGGGAGATATTAGAATCTGGCTTTTTCCTCCCCAGGAGGAAATGAGGTTCAGAGAGTGAATGGGTTTGGCTGAAGTCACACAGCGATAAATGGCTTCATGTTTAAGGTAGCTTGGCTCTCAAACCTGTGCTCCTCCATTAAAGTACTTATTGAGTATTTATTATGGGCTGAGCATTGTACTGAGACTTCTCCATGCTTCCTGTCCTTCATTCCTCCCAGTGACTCAGTGGGGGCAGGGAATGGTACTTTCCCTGCGTTCAGATCATCTGCAGATGCTCAGATAAGTGAAGTCACTTGGCAGAGGTCCACCAGCAGTGAGTGACAGGGCCAGCATCATCACCGGGACGTTATAAGCCAACATCACTACCAGTCATTAGAACATACTAGAAAGTCATGGAAACTGGCAGATGCAGAAATCAATATGAATTATCAGTGGTGAGTCAGGCCCAGAGCTCTTAACTACATTTCTCTCCTCTCTCTCTCTCTCTCTCTCTCTCTCTCTCTCTCACACACACACACACATACATACATTCTCTTTGTGTGTCTCTCCCTGCAAGCCACTTCATTTATTTCTAATAATTTTCATTTAAAAATATTTTATTTATTATTTTTATTTTATGTGTATGAATGGATTATCTGCATGTGTAAGCACACCAGTTTCATGTAATGCCTGAGGAGGTCAGAAGAGGGCCTTGGAG